AAATTAGCGAATATACACTCATTTGCAAATCAATTTGGGTGGGGCAGCCTGATGCAGTGCATTCAGTTGCCTGGAAACATCAAAACCTAGAGATTCAACTGGGTTCCGGGTAAGTCCCTCGAAAAACCAAATTAGTTTGCAAATGAGTGTATATTCACTAAAATTTACTCCGATAGAGCCCTACAGTAAATGGAGAAGCGAGCCACTCGAAATACCTACAGGTCACGTGAACAAGGTGCGATTAAATAGACATAATACACTACTTAGAAGGGCAAAACCGGTCGTGGGCTGTTGAGGAGTTCTCAGCAACCTTATGGGTAGTGTATTATATCAATACAATATGTCCCGAATCTGGAATAAGAGGCGGCTTAGTGAACCAGACTCAGTTGTTCAAGACATCAGCTCGGTCCCGGGTGAGTGTGTTTCGCTAATTTCTTTGAGGATGGCCTCAGTTGGTCATCTCATTTGTTGTTGTTTGAACATGAAAGTTCTTGTCGGTGATGCGGCAATCCAAACGAGAACGAGTCTACGATAACATGAGCTACGCGAATCGACCTTGCCCGGATCAATATGACAACCAAAGCGAATATGGACTAAACAATTCGTCGAAAAATAACAACACTTCAAGAAAGTTCGGTAGACAACAGTCTGAAATACCTACCTTCCATATCCGCAGATCCATCCAAAGTTTTTTGAATTCCGCGAATCCCAATGCACCACTCAAGTCGGCCTAGAGGGCAAGAAGTCAAGGTCTGGCGAAGTACACTGAGCACAGTCCATACACGAAATGCGTAGAAACACAATAAATGTAGCAGCACCGGCTTCGAGCCGTAGGTGGACGGATCACTTTTATCGATTCTGGTGCATCATGCCTAAGAGAGTTACCAATCTTTGGAGCTGATTGTCACAGGCAAATTTGAACCTGATCTTTGTCGTACGGTTTAAGGAGGCTCTTTTCAAAGTAACAGTCTGTTAGCCGTTTTCTTTCGTTGGAATAGGCCTCGGGTCCACTAAAGCTCCTATGAGACAGATCGTCCGATGTAACTCAATTTGTTAACTGTAGCTGGGGTGAAGCGCGATCCGATATTTTGCCCAATGTTTCAACCCTTGCTTGGACGCCCAAATGAGTCTACAGGTAACCTTGGATAAAGTCCATCAGTGAGTATCGCCGCACATTGTCTGGTAACAGGTGCGCTTTGCAGCTGCCCAGGTAATACCATCCAAGTCTTCTTCCCATATAGACTTAATAAGTGGGAATGGATACGCGATGCCGAAATTGCACGGCCAGTTGTCACAGCAGCGAAGAAAGAGTGGCAGCTGTTGTTAGGACGTCTGACCACGCTAGACCTTGCAAAGAGACAAAGGGCTAACAAACGTTGATCGACCCGGTTAGTATGCTCATTTTTGGCGGAAATGCTACGAAGACATTCGAACTGAAAGCACTATGGGCGAAGTGAAAAAGACTGGACATTATTTGGAATGGTAGGTGCTTCTCGGCGAAGCAACCGGAGTTTGCAAAACAAGGGAAAATGGACTAAACGGTCCAGTGTGGACTTGATTAGGGCCCACACATGGGGAGAAGCGCTTGAAATTCCAGCGGTGAGTCACAAAGCCCAGCAAAGTAAGCATTAAAGTTGGTTGTTGATCAGGTCGATTTTTTCGCCCAGCTTGGCAATTGACTTGCAAACGTTTTGCCATCATACAAGCAGACATCATAGGTGTGCAGCTGGATGGGTGCTTCCTCTTTATCTGAAGACTTCCTTGACGTGATTGGATAACTGGCGTTCTCCTCGATTTGTTGGTCCGTTCACGATCTTTGTTGCGCTGTAGTCTGTGTTCCTTTGAGTCGATTGGTTATCCCAGTGCCCCCTATTTTCACTAGTAACTTCTTTGGCTTTGATTGGCGGCTTCTCAATCTGCCTCGCCAAACATTGGAGTACTTGAATTCGGAGAGTCGGAAGTGACAGGAAAGCCAACAAAACAGGAAAGTTTCCGCAACTGGAAGGAGTATCGGGAACCTAAGTAGATTTAACGTCGTCCAGATAGCCAATATCGCCGGTGGCGTTTTCGAGCTAAACAAACAGAGGGGCTGCTGATTTGGACTTTTAAGTAGGCGGATTGTGGGGAGAGCTATGCATTGAAGGCAGTAGTTTGGATGCACGAGCGTTATTGAGAGCGTGTCGAGAGATGTATCGCAACAGTAACTTTAACCAGCCGATGTACATCTCATTTGCCGGTCTACATTTACAACTCCTGATCGAAACTCGACCAGGGGTGGTGGTAAATACACCCACCAACTCGATATATAATACAGATATGATAATAATACAGATACAATATATATATATATATATATAATACAGATCTCCAACAACGCAAAAGGATACATCCACGAGAGCAACCATGCTTCTGGCCGTTTCGCTGCTAAAGCCATTGAATGGAAATTCTAAAGAAACAAAAAAGGACATTAGGCTGAACAGCGTGCAAGACGACAGTAAATGTATACAGAGGATGGAAGAATAAACGGGTTAGGGATGGATGTGTTTTCAAAACTATACTAATCGTACAGCTGGGGGCGAGATGGTTCAGTGGTTAGAGCACGAATTTACTGACCGGAAGGTCCGTGGTTCGAACCCGACCTCTGCCTCTCGACTTCGCCTGTCTAGGCTTGGCCATCCTGGAAGTATCCCAGCCCTCTTGCTTCCTTCGAGTGGATTCGCCGCTAGGCACCGAAAGGGTGTTCCGGCTGAACGGCTGTTATTTAATCTTTCAGCTGTAACTGCTTAGCGGGTATGCCACCCGAAGGAAGCACACAAGGGCTGAGATTCTGCCAGTTTTTCCAAGCCTATTAGACAGGAGTAGTCGAGATGCCGGTGTCGTATTCGTACCACGGACCCTCCACCAAACAGTCAGGATGAAATCGCACCAGTCAAGAAATTGGGATAATTCGCACTGAAGCGGAGCGCGCCGCCGACTTTCACACATCGCTTTCATGCATGCGATGCGACCTAACTGAGTGAGCAACGTCGTGAGTGTGAACACCTGGCGAAACGGACAGAAATTCTCCAAACGCTTTGTGTCGTAGATCGTTACATTGAAATCTGGGTGCATTTCAGACTACGTCACTTTGACGGTCTACAACACAATCGTCTCACCCCTCTCGTAAATAGAAAATGGTGAAAAAGAGTGTCTAGACGCATCAGACACCAACCTAAAGGCTAGTTGCACACAATCAGGACAGTTAATGGGTCGTCTTTCGAGGTGTTGGGGCGTAGCTCAAGCGTAAACATGTTCGCCTGTGCAAACTTGGAAATTTAGATGCGTCCAATGTGCTTTGGGGGAGTGAAAGGAGGAAGGCCTTCACTGCGGAGTTATTTATTGGAAAGTGCCAACTGGACCGGTTACAGACTATTAGACAAGGAAGCAAAACTCTCATTTGCATCTTATTTACAAAAACTGGACATCCATGTTCTTCTGAACGCATCTTCTTGAACTTTCCCGGATATTCATTGACTCCAATCATCCATTGCTCAAATCCAATCAAAGGTCACAAAGCGACTCCACAAATTCCGCAACAGATCTCTTTTAAAGAGTCGCAAAGCAAAATTCCAAGAACAACATATACTACTCGCATGCTTTCCCATCAGTAGTATCACCGTTACAGGAGTGGTGGTAACACGCTCAGCTCGCATGTCAAAAATCCCGGCACAGTCCTAGGGCATGCACTACTGATGAGTTCGAATTGGAAGAAAACTTTTCTTTGGTGCTCTCGCCTGCCGTTTGGTGTGGACTCAACAGAATAATTGCACCCGTACAGGAGGAGAATGCAAACGAGAACGAGGTGGGTGCGAATTCCATAAATCCCGCAACTACCTACATCTTATTCGCGCCGAATTGGGTTCGAGCGTAAACGTTGGCGTGATTTATTGCAAGGGGTTCGCTTTGTATTTACTCCACATGGGCTGTCGCACTTGATGCCCAATTAGTCGAAAGTATCCGTGATTTAAACTCTCGCACACAGTCGCAGTAGTTGTTATTTGATGTCCACCTACTATTGGTGGTCATTAGTAGTTTCATCCAGCCTTGTCGGGTATAACCACCAAAATCAATGTCCACGTGATGACCGACCGTCACGTGAGCGAGTGACAGTGAAATCGGGCTCCAGATTCAACAATGCGACGACCACCTAAGTTGTTTGAGTCACTAATTTCTCCGACTTTCGTTCAAATTCTCAACATATCAGTCAAGACAGCCATCTTTTTTTAACTGAACTTATGAGTGATTTCAACCGATGCAGAAGAAACTTCTGAAACACTATTTTTAGTACAGAGATCCCCTGACTGGTATAATGACCACAACCTCTGGACCGCATCTAACGTGCATCAATCAGATCTTGTTTCAAGGTCACAGATGCGATGTTTTCAACTTTGGTTAGCACCACGTGGTTAGACCACGACAATAGTTCGTCTGTGTCAAATGGTGGACCTTCGTCATTGTTGGTGGATAGAGGAGGGCAGGAAATCGGGTGGATCGAAAATTCCGACGAATAGTCTGTTGGTTTGTCCCAACGGATGAGGTTCAGAAAACGACGTTTTTATCACAATCTCTGCACGTCAATGCAAGTCTTCAGATGTCAACGTGCGAAACCAGCCTGGTCGCGAGTCCCTCGTGCTTGAGATGAGCTCTCAGTTTGTATTTGAGAACCAGATGTGTCTGCGTTCCAAAGCGGATGCAAAGAGTCCCTTGACTGTTTGGACTACACATGAAGAACGGACAGGTCACTGACGTACAACACTGTGATAAAAAGTACGTTCTGTGCAATCCATGTGGCTGAATTCACTTGGTTTCAGGAAAAAGGGGACGATGATGGATCTGTCACGGCTCGTGATTCCGTTCTCATGGCGGGCAAACGTTGTTTGTTCAAATCAAAGGACATAAATCACTAGAGTTTAACACTTTTTCAATTGCCCTGTGCTATTTCGCGTCTACCGTTGCTCTTTTCTTAACGAGATTAAGTGAACTCAGTCAGAAACACGAAAAGAAATGGTGAGAGCTGACTGGTGTGGACAGATTGTGGTGAAGAGCCGCGAACTTCACAGGCACAACTTCGGCACAAATCGAAGTTAAGTTGGGAATAGCACTGGAGGTTACATGTCAGCCTTTGAAGTCAGTTTTTTCATCCTTGGAGCACGCAACACGACATCGGGCTAAAACTGGGCACACATTTAGCGAAATCTGTCTTGAGTGAACGTTGAACGAGGTGGAGAAAACCAAGGAAAACTACTGGTTTTAACGACTTTTTTCCGTACACTGTGCACACCGCTGGAGTATGCTTTTCGTCAGCCTGTCAAGGAGACGAAACACCATTACCTGTTGTTCATACATAACACCTGTCGCGAATTTAGCAGACATGGGGAAGTAAATCAAATAGTCAGCATTATGCCAACGGGGCGAATTTATTGACCGGAAGGTCCTTGGTTCGAACGCGACCTCCGCTCTCGACTTCGTCAGAAACACGAAAAGAAATGGTGAGAGCTGACTGGTGTGGACAGATTGTGGTGAAGAGCCGCGAACTTCACAGGCACAACTTCGGCACAAATCGAAGTTAAGTTGGGAATAGCACTGGAGGTTACATGTCAGCCTTTGAAGTCAGTTTTTTCATCCTTGGAGCACGCAACACGACATCGGGCTAAAACTGGGCACACATTTAGCGAAATCTGTCTTGAGTGAACGTTGAACGAGGTGGAGAAAACCAAGGAAAACTACTGGTTTTAACGACTTTTTTCCGTACACTGTGCACACCGCTGGAGTATGCTTTTCGTCAGCCTGTCAAGGAGACGAAACACCATTACCTGTTGTTCATACATAACACCTGTCGCGAATTTAGCAGACATGGGGAAGTAAATCAAATAGTCAGCATTATGCCAACGGGGCGAATTTATTGACCGGAAGGTCCTTGGTTCGAACGCGACCTCCGCCTCTCGACTTCCCCTGTCTAGGCTTGGGCGACCTGGCAGTATCCCAGCCCTCGTCCCTCCTTCGTGTGGCATGGCAGCTAGGCCCTGAAAGGGTGCTATAGCTGGACGACGATTCAGATGTCTTCGGTGGGGCGGCTCAGCGACCGCATGTGGTAAAAAACTGTTTGGACCAGACCAGCGCTGTTTAAGCATTCCCAAGCCGGTGTAGCACTAATGAGTTGCCCCAGAAGCGATATATCCGTTCAAAAAATTTTCTGAGTACGCCCTTATTGAAATGATTACCTCCGGAGCGTAGCTGTCCGAGTTTTCCCCTTGCAGAAAGGCAATGACCGACTCGTTCGGTCATTGGCTGCAGCGGCGCCATCATTTGCGGTGGCTTGGCCATCCACTACTCATATGCTAATCGTCTGGCGTTGCTCCGTGTTGTCCGCGTCTTCTTCAAGACAGCGGGTGACTTGGCGGAGGGATGCAAAAGAGATTAACGGAGAGATTCGGTGTTGTTGGTGCGGTTTGTCTTCCAGGATGCTCCTCTCTGCGCTTGGCTGGAGACAAAGCAAGAAGTGGCGAGTAACTGATGTCAGTGGAGTTCGTTCCATCAGTTTCCGGAGTGCTTGCTTGCGACAAGCTTGCGCCAGGTCCATCCCTCACCAACCTTTTCACCCTGAGGATGTAAATATAACTAGATAAATTTTGCTGTAGTGAGACAATATAGTCTCTGATGATGGTTGCACCCCCGCGTTTCTTTCCACCAGGCGCACTGTCGAACCAAATATTCGGTTACGTTCAACTAACCATAAGAAAGGATCCTTTTGCTACAGAACAGCTGTAATGTAATACCCTTCCGGTGCCTAGCTGCCATGCCACCCGAAGGAAGCACGAGGGCTAGGATTCTGTCAGGTCGCTCAAGCCTAGACAGGGGAAGTCGAACCTTCCGGTCAGTAAATTTGCGCCCTAATCACCAGAGCAATGTCGCCCCCCCCCCCCCCCCAACCAAGTAATAATACTCAACAAAAACTGGAGGCAATAGACGAGCAAACTAATAGCTGATAGAGCCATGTTATGACCAAGTCCAGTCGTACAGACAGTATACCTTTTGTGAACGATGCGTTGAGGATATCTCGCAGTTCCGTAGCCCGTATGTCACCAGACGGACCGGCGATGTCATTAAATGCCGCCTCTAATTTAAGCATGGTTTTATCGTCCACAGCCAACGTCGATATGCCAGTCTGAAACACAAAATTGGAAGCGTGTGTGAGTGAGGCTAGGATCGAAGCAACTCGATGCGTAAGAATGAGACAAAATCTAGAAATACACTCATTTGCAAATCAATTTGGTTTTCACGAGAGACTCAACTGAATCTCTCTACAACTGAATGTGCTACACACAGGCCGCCTCAGTTGGCACGACATTCGAGGTATCGCGGTATATTTTCATGAAGGAAACTATTCACAAGGTCGCTGAAAACTCTTCGACAGCCCACGACCGGTTTTTCTACCTTCTAATTCGGGCTCATCAGTTAGGCGCAGTCCCCGAGACCATGACCTACACAACTAACAATATTCTCATGCCACTGTTTTCGAGAAATACACTCATATGCAAATCAGTTTGGTTTTCACGAGCGACAGAGCACAAGATCTCCATGGATGGGACCTACGGGGACTCAGCTCACTACTAGTCAATGACACTGGCGGAAATGGCCCAGTTGCGCAGTCGGTGGCGCTTGTACGTCGCCTTCACACTCTCCCACTTTCCGGTGATCGAAACTGTAGCAGCTGGCACACAGTTCATAGCTGACCCATCGATTGATTGATGATTGACTGATTGATTGATTGCACAAGACTTCCGTCTGCACTTGCAATAAGTGACTTCTATTGCCCTGGAGAACGTCGCAGCCAATAGCGAGAGGAAAAGACATGTACAGCAGATGGATTAGCGAGTGACTTGTCAGTCACCGCCAGTGGACGACAAGAAAATCGCATCAGTAAGCCTGTTTGCGAAAATCATTTGTGGTCAGCTGACATTCTGCCATTTGAGTAAGAGTACCTTGCGCACCGCACAAACTAAACTGTAATTGACCATCATATCCAAGTGAAAAATCGAAAACCGCAGAGCCAAAGTTTCTGGGCGTATTGGTTGGACCATTGGCCACATGCAGTGGCCTGGCTAAATGATACAGGGGATGTGAGTAACTCTACCGAAAAAAGTGTCTGGATATGAGTACCCCCTGCCGGGGAACACAGAAAACGCTATTGATGGAAACAACCGAGCAAATGTCTCACCGGTTCACTTCCCGACTTTGTACACATCAGTTGGTAGTGAATACTCTTTCTACGGACAATAACTTGAAATGCTTCTGAACGCGTCGCAATCAGGAAAGAAAAGAATGAAAGAAATTGTTCAGCTGTAACACCCTTTTGCTGCCTAGCTGCCCTGCTACCCGAAGGAAGCACGAGGGATGGGATACTGCCAGGTTGCCCAAGCCTAAAGAGGAGTTGAGAGGCAGAGGTTGGGTTCGAACCACTGGCCTTCCGGTCAGTAAATTCGCTCTCTAACCACTTGGTCCATCTCGCCCCCATCCCAGCTTCCTGGGAGTTGATGCGTTAAGAAGAGGCACACGGAGGGCCGTCTGGACGAGGGTCAGGCAGCTCCGGCTGTTCTGTGTAGGCGAACACACTGCTAAAATGCATCCAGTAGGACAAATGGATTCAAACGAAGCGAACAGCTAGATAAGCTAGGATGCGAGCGGGACTTACCGCTTCATCGTGCGAAATCGTGGTTGGATCATCAAGTTCGCTGAAAATCAACAAGAATAAGCAATGGCATCAGCATGTGAAGACGCTGTGAATCTGACTCATTTCAACGAAAATTGAAAAAAATCTTTCCCCTGTGAAATCCGGCCCAACCACAACAATGAAATTCTCCCGTGCGAAACCTCCGCTCGCGGCTATCCACAGAAGCCCATTTCTACTATTCTCAAAGATATATTTATGTTGGAACCATGTCAATGGTTTGAAAAGGGGAAAGGGAACAACTACTCTTCGGATATCAGGTTGGACTAACCCGTAAGTTATCATCATCGTTATCATCATTGTCAGCTGTAATAACCGCGTACTTGTAGTACAGTGATTGTAGCTACCACACTTTTGTTCACCGATGATTTGGGGGGGGGGGTAGGTAGCTGCGCATCGGAGGCTGGAGCTGATAAATTAGTGCGTGAATACAGCACTGTAGGTGGACTGCTAAGTGGGGGGATTGGGAAGGGAGCTATGCATTGAAGGCAAATGCTTGTATGCATGAGCGCCATTGAGGGCGCAACTGAGCCATGTCTGACAATGTCTTTAACCATTGATATGGCTCGTCCGGGGGTTCCCATCCAGGAAGACGGCAATGACCAGCGCAGCTGAGTTTGCTGGTAATGGCTTTTATGCTTCGCTGCCAAGCCATTGTTTGATCGCCTCTGGTGATCGAGATTGCCTACTTATCTAAGAGGAGTATGTTTCCACACTCTTTAGGGAAAAATCAGCGACAGTTGGTCTGTGAATGCTGAGGTACATTCATGCCAAATTTGCAGTTTACGATTGGCGGCACAGTACAGTGCATGCACACATTCCGCAAAAGCCACAATGAGCTTTAATTTGGAATTATGTGACCCAAAAACTGCATTCATTAGACGTGAACTGGTAATGATCTTTAACAAGGTATGGCAATCTTTCAATAAAAGAACAAACCCTGAAAGTGGACAACACCGTTTGTTTCGGTTCAATAAAGGTTACCTAGTCTCCAAAGTCCATTATTTTGTCCCCGAGTGCGTGGTTTCAAACTCCCAAGGGAGTCCACCGAGTCAGAAAAGGCTCGGTTATTATACAGACACTGCAAAATTCGTGGTTGATGGAAGATCGCGAGCGAGATGTATTCGAAAACCAAATGGATAGATTTCAAATCGCAGACATTGCTTTCTGAGAAAGACAAAAAGGCCCTTGTCCCACAGTGACCTGAGAAAGAGGCTAACACGCATCTGCTTCAAACACAGTTTCTCCGTCGCCACATGCGCATTGAATTCTCCCCCGGTTTGAGCTATTCTCCTAAGACCATAAATTTTGACCCTATTCAGTCAGCGGTCGCTTGCACATGAAATTTTGAAACGAGTGCAGCTTGGCTACTAAGTCCGGACATGCGGCGGGTTCCCTCCCCCAATGAGCACGCTAGTTCAGACGTATTGGCGACTGTAATTATCCATGGGATCTGTTGGGAATAGGATCTTTGAAAACTATAGTCCATGAATATAAACGAGATTCTCTAAGCAGGATGGTATAATGCCAGATGGGCCTTATACTCGACGAAAACCTCCGGCATTTGCATAGCCACAGTTGAGGGAGAGAAGCTTTCCATTGTCCAAATATTAAAGTCTAACGTAATCTTGCTCTGGGCACAGCAAATTTGTGCACTGAATTTCCCAGGAGAGGTTGCTTTTCCTGAAAGGCTACACCAAGCCTATTTGTCGGACACAACCTAGTGCAAATGGACGCTGAATATGAGTCACTTCCAGAAGAGCTCATTCGTCAAGTTTTCTATTTTAGCGAAGCTGCTACAATCGCTATGGGCACTGTGGTTGTCAGCTAAAAACCCACAAGGCCTGCCAGTAGTGAAACGTGTTGCCCTTTTGATGTTCTCCCGTTCAGTAACCGAGGGCAGCATTGGTGACGTTACACTATCCATCATCATCGACGGCATGACATCAGTGTTCAACACCGATGCTTCACTGCCGTACAACCATGATTTATTTGAAAGCCTTATTGTAGAGAAAAGAGTAAAGATGGACGGGGAAGGGACTTAGTGCTAGCTTAC